CAACTCCTCGAAGGCAACCGTCCCCACTTTGACGGTCTCTCTGGACGGCTTTCATCCAAAATTAAATCTATGTTTTCACCAGCCGGTTGGGGACGGAACTCATCTGATCGTTCCCCAATCAGTGATTGCTATTTTTTGCCTTTTTTGGCGGCCACAAGGTAGTCCGCCTTTCTTTTCTTGCCGGCTGCTGAAGGAGCAGGCGCGGCTTCCTTGCTTTCTTCAATGAGGGTGGGTTCCTCACTGATGCCGGCTGGGGTTACAGTCGGCTTGACGGCTGTAAGGTAGCACTCCCTCGCCGTCTTTTGATCCCCACTCAGGGAACCCACCGTCCCATCATCCGTCTCGAATTTAATCAGCATGAGAGAGGGGATGATGAATGCTTTGGACTCGTTGAGGGTTGGACGTCCTAAGATAAGGTTGTTAGCGGTCAGTTTCTCAACAACCAAGAACTTGACTACCATATGTCGTCCTTCTCCCTTCTCGCCCAACCGGATGGGTAGGTCGATCCTTCCAACCGGATGCACAACTCCTCCCCCAAAGCCAATCAAAGGGTGAGAAGCCGGCTGCATGCTATCAGGCTTGTATTTTAGTTTCGCTGAGCACTGGTAGCTTATCAGGTCAGACGAGCTCCCGGTATCTATAAGGATCCGACCCACTCGCTGATTGGCGACCTTGCACTCGATGACTAAGGGGTCGTCATGAGGCCGCCTGACCTTGCCCTGGTCCTTCTCAGAAATGAGGACCTCGGGGAAGGTATCCCTCAACGGCTGGCCCTCATCTACTAAGCTAACCAGATGCCAGATGTTTTCCTTGGCCCCCCGAATGGTAGGACCCCCTCCAGCAAAGCCGCCTGCTATGGTGAAGATGTGCTCATCATCCGTATCAGAGCTGACAGCCGGCTTCTTGGACGGTTGCCCCTTGCTTTGCTTGGCACCGCCCTTGGGCTTCACCAAGTATGACCTCAGCGCCCCTTCGTCAGCCAGACGGTCCAGCTGCCGCCTGAGGGCATAGCAGTCACTGGTGTCATGGCCAATTTCCTCGTGGAATTGGCAATACTTGTTCTTGTCCCGGCTGCTGACGGGACTTTTCATTGGAGTCGGTTTTTCATTAGTCATCCGGTTCCTAATCTCCACGAGGATGGAGGATGGGTCATTGTTAAACTCATACTTTGGGACGTATGGAGTAAACTATCTTGGTTTCTTCTGGGACGGCTGACCAGAACGGTCGGCTGCCCAGACTTCCTTTCTCTTCTGGCCTTCTACTTTAGCAGTCGGCTGGGCAGGCTGGCTGTCCCTCCTATCGGACTTCTTGAAGTCCGACGGCTGCCTGACGGAACACAGCTCTGTCGCCTGTATATAGGCTTCAACCTCCAGCAGAGCTTCTTGAAGAGTGGCAACCCTCTTCCGGACGAGGTCGAACTTGAAAACCGACCCGTCTTTTAGACCCTTGAAGAAGTCTGTATAGGCTACTTCATCCGTCAGGCCGGCTATCTAAATTCTTGTCAGATTAAACCGCCTGACGTAGGACCGGAGTCTTTCCTTGTCTCCCTGCTTTATGGCCCCTAGATCGAGGCTGGTCTTTTTGGCAGGGATGTTCATGGAGAAGTTGGACGTAAAGAGATACGCCAACGTCTTGAAGTTGTTAATGCACCCGGCTGGAAGGTTGCCAAACCACCTCTGGGCTATGCCTTTGAGGGTAGCCGGGAAGCACTTACACCAGTCGACATCATCCAACCCCTGTAGGTACATGAGGTTGGTGTATGCCATGAGGTGGTCTTCCGGGTTGGTGGTACCGTCGAAGGTACCGACCAACACGTTCTTAACCTTGGCCGGCTGGGCCACCTCGGCTATTTCCCTGGAGAACGCCGACTGCTGTTCACCAAGGTTGAGCAGCCGGAGCTGCCAGTCGACTGACTGCATGGGTGCCGCCTGGCCTCCAAAGAGACCCGGCTGCATGTATGGGACTCCATAGGGCAGGTATGGCGGTTGAGGCGCATATGGTGCCGGATGGATGATTTGGGGGCCAGTACGCGGTGACATGCCGAGCAACTGACTACCTCGGTTTGTCTCCGAATGCTTCATTGAAGTATTGCGGAAACTGTCTGGAAAGGTCGACGTGGAAGCCGACTCAGACATTTGCTAACTTCTCCTTTCCTGGATCAAAGTCCGGGCGTCGGAGTAAGTCTTCTTGGACCCATCCGCCTATACTTGCCGGATGGCTTTCCGTTGCCTTGATTCAGGGAAATGGAGCCTTGAGAGATCGATCAGGGGCCCATCCGTCCCCTTTCGCTTTGGGTGCGGAGTAGGGACCCGGTCTTTCACTTGCTTCTTCCCGGAAGGAAAAGCTTTCTTTGCCGCCTGACCCCTCTTTCAGGGGAAAGGCTTCTTGGCCGACTGACCCCTGTTGGAGCCAGTGGACTTCTTGATGATGTCCGTGATTTCCCCCTTGAAACTAGTCATGAATTTCATGAGTTCGTCTCTGGTGACGGGGGCTGAGCCCTCCGCTGCCTGGGGTACCCTAGCCGGCTGGCCGGCTGGGGTGTCAGGAACTGCATCTTCACCCCGTTCCCTTACTTCTTGGGAACGGGTGCGCCGTGATCTGAATGACCCGTCTGGGGCCGTATAGGTGTCGATGTTATTATCGTCATCACTACCTGGGTCCGAGTGGACCTCGGCCTCGACCATAGACCGTTTGACTTCGGCAGGCGGTACATAGTCAGAATTCATCTTGGAAGTACTCTCCCCACAGACGGCGCCAAATGTTTCGGGGTTTTTTCTGTGTCCTACGGGAGAGTTACAATTCCGAGACTGAGCTTGCTGACCGGCTGTACCTGCAAAACAACGAAACTCCGGTTGGGTGGCCTGGAGTTCCGCCTCCGACGATCTAGTTAGAACGCGTACGAAGTGAATAGTGCGGAAAGTAAAGATTTCTCTTTGATTCAGAGAGAATAAATGTTGTTTGGTTTTTGTGTTTTTTTTTGTTTGGGAATTTGTGAATCTCTAATAAATGAGGATTTTCCTCTATATATAGGGCAGAGGGAACAGTGTCCCTGCCAAATGAGGACTTGCCACGTGTCAGCCTGGGATTGGTTCCCATTGGCCCTTTCTAGGACTAACACGTGTCAGCCTTTGATTGGGCCACGTGCCTAGGGTAATTTTTCCCTAAACATGTTGCATTTTTTTTTCTCAATAATCAACTGACTTGAAATATTTTTTTCATATCTTTCTTGGCAAGCTTTTCATACATGATTAAATACAAAAATATTTTTTTCAAAAAAAATCCTTGTTTTTATTAATGGTAAAGTAGTACGTAACTCTACATATGTCATAAATTAGGTTAAGAAGTTTATGGTATCAATATGTATTTGGAAGGACACATTAAATCTTTTCTAATCTTTTTTTTTTTTTTGAAGGAAAATATTTCGCAATATTTTATTTATGTATAATATTTCTTTCCTATATAGACATTAAAAAAAAAAAACTAAGGGACATACCAGAAAATGACACGTGTCATTACTGGTGTGTTTTTTGGCATATAGTTATTATTATTGATTGATTGATTGATTGATTGATTAAGCAAGATAGATTTCATGTTAATCCTTAATGTTTTAACTAAGTTCCTATTCACTTCACCTTATAAAAAAATAGTATTAAGTAAAATTAATTTTAGTTCAGTAAAATTAATTTAAGTTCAGTAAAAATAATTTAAGTTCAACAAAAATAATTTCAGTTCAGTAAAAATAATTCCAGTTCGGTAAATAATTTCGGTTAAGCAAAAATAAGATTGAGTAAAAGGGGCCTAATTCGTGCTGTTGTATTTATCTAAGTTAGCAAGGTAAATTATATAGGAATCAAACTTATCTGTTTTGGGGGATTGTAGAATTGATTTACTAGTATGTTGAAGATTAAAGCAGGCCTTTGGAATAACCCTCGAGTGCCAGGAATAATTGAAAATTTAGAGCTCCAAACCTTTGCTAAGATGTACGGAAAGTTTTGGTGCACTTGGCAGGTTGACCGACGTAAATAATTTGACTCAGTTTTTCATTTTGGCTTATTTCATTTTCAAGTTCAATTCATTATTCAATATATGGAATACAAATTATTGCATTTCTTCCCCCGTCTCAAATAATTGTTATGGAGTATATCGACAGATCAATAGTGCAAACTAGTATTCCTTTTGTTATTTTTTTTATCTTCCCATTTACTACGTATATTGTCAAACTTATAAAACTTTGATCATATTTTGAAATTACTATATAAGTTGAAAAAGTTTATCATATGGAGGTAGTATACTATACGTAAATTTATTAATGGTTTTTCTATTTACTGATTATATGAAGGAGATAAACTTCCCTTAGGCGCACCGGCCCTTATGATGTCTCCTCAACCAGAGAGCACAATTTGCGCAGAAATGGTGAAGAAGAGGGATGAGAAGTTCTAGAAATCAAGTGATAATTTGATCTCATCAAGGGCTAATATTGCGACACCGGAAAACTTGAATTCGTACGCAGATCACTGGAAGCAATATGGAAAGGGCTTTGCTATTGATTTACAAGAAACGGAGATGAAAACAACTGCTCCCTTCCCATGAAATGATGAAATTAATAATCCAATTCAATTTATACTCTCTCTGTTTTTTTTATTTGCATCAATTTGACGAGTACATTTTCCGAGACGTAACTTTAACAATGTAGAACACACACACTCGCGTAGTGATTGAAAAATTATGTTTTTATTCTTCTTATAAACAATGTAGGACACTCGCGTATTGATTGAAAAACTTGTTTCAACATTATCTTCAACACTAATTTGATAAGGTTATGTATGACTGATTCCCCCCAAAATCTTCATACTTTGGCGGATCTTGATTTAATTTAATAATATCCGTCTACATTGTCTTTAAAAAAAACTTATGAAGTACAATATAACAATCATATAAGATTCTGAACTTTTTATTATTAGTTTATTTAAATTATATATCTTAAATGGATGTCGTTTAAAATGAGAAAATCTCTGTTTTTCACCGTGAGAAACAGAAGCGTTTCTCACGATGGCATTTCTGTAATAAAATTGATGTTTTTCACTTACTGGGATGCTGACTCGGATGCGCCTATGTGGCATTTTGCTGAGTGGACGCTGAGTGGGGACATTGTGAGAACAGGATTCGCCTATGTTATGTTACAGATTTCGGTGTTTAGGCGGGATACTATTCACACATCACATCAGTTGAACAGTTGAATTAGCAGGTACTATCTTCGTCCAGTCGCTTCGCTTCTTCTAGTGCATTCTTGCAGGTACTATCTTCGGGAATTCACACATCTTCAAACATCTTCGAGTTGAACAGCTTCCCATAAAACTATTTCCAGACCCAGTTGAATTAGCAGGTAATTATGATGTTATAGAGCTCATAATCGCGACCAAATTATGAATAATTTTGAACGTAATGGTATAATGAGGTTAATGCCTCTGTTATAATTGCGGCCGAATGATTTTGTTGAAAATGCAATTTATACTTGTTGATAATGTGTTGTCTTCGTATGCTTTGAACAAATCCCTCTGTTAATGCCTCTGTTAATTTTTGAAAATTGGTTGTTTTACTTTGTTGGTTGTTCAACTGGTTGATTGATTTGTGTCGGTTGGTTGTATTTCTGTGTTGGGTTCAATTTGTGCTGTGAAAACGTGTTGGTTGATGAACTGGTTTAATTTGTATTGTAATTATGTTGGTGTTTTGTATTAATTTGTATTGTTCTGTATTTGAAGGGTGAATTGTTTTTGATGGAGAAGACTGGTATCATGACTGATATTATGGAAATGGAAACTGAAGGCGTTATTAGGGGCAGTGAGATTGGTGTTGGTGATTGTGGGAGTGTCGTTAAGTTTAGGAGTAACGTTGGTATAGAGGAGGAGGGCAATGACATGGAGGGTATAGAAGACATAGTTGTTGCAGATAGTTGTGATGAGGGTGTTGGTGTAGTTGGTGCAGTTGACATGAATGTAAATATTAGGTATTTATCCCCCGTGAAAACAATTCATACGACTCACACTGTGGTTGGTAGCAATGAAATGCGTGTAATTGTTGAGGAGCCTAAGGAAGGGATGGTCTTCCGGTCTTGGCAAGAGGTTGAAGCCTACTATAAGGAGTATGCTGAGCAGATGGGGTTTGGAGTGTCAAGGGTTCAAGGCGTAAATTCTAAGACGGCGAACAAACAAAGAATTGCAAGCACGTGGAGGTGTGAGTGTTGGGGTAAACCCGACATGAGGGCTAGGAAGGAAGCGAAGAAGAGGGCAAAGGCAATGGGTGTTGGAGGTTCAGGTGGTTTAGTTGATGGGGTGGTATGTGAGGATGAGTTAAGTCGTAGGAAGAGGACTTCGAAAAAGTGTGAATGTGAGGCCCGTGTTTATGCTAGAGTGAATGAAGATGGCATGTGGGTGTTGAAGACAGTGCACTTAAAGCATAATCACAAGATTGATCCGGCAAATTCTAAGCTTGTGAAGGAGTACCGCATGAAGCAAATGACCTCAACAGTGAAGAAGAAGCTGATGGATTTCTATGAGCAAGGTGTACCAATTTCTCAAATACACGGTTGCATGGCGACCGAACGAAACGGTAACATGGCTCTCACCGTCAAAGATTTACAACATGAGGTGTACAAGGCTAGGCGGTTGAAGATGGTTGGAGGGGACTCGGTGGCAATGATGGAGAACTTTGAAAAAATGCAATTCGGCAACCAAAATTTTTTCCATGCTCAACGTTTGGATGAAGAAGGGAGGCTTAAGGATGTGTTGTGGGTGGATGCAAGAAGTAGGGTAGCTTATGAGGACTTTGGTCATGCGGTTTGCTTCGACGCAACATACCTAACAAATGAGTACGAGCTCCCATTTGCGAACTTTGTTGGTGTGAACCACCATGGGCAATCGTTGTTGTTGGGATGTGCTCTTGTTTCACATGAAGACTGCGATACGTTTGCGTGGATATTTCGATAGTGGCTAGCTTGCATGAACAACCGAGCTCCTAAAGCCATTTTGACCGACCAAGCGGCAGCTATGCGGAGGCCCCTAGCTGAAGTCATGCCAAACACGGTTTATCGTTGGTGCCTATGGCATATCATGAGCAAGATCCCTGAGAAACTTGGCAAGTGTGCACGGTATGTTATGTATAAATTATGTTATACAAATCTGCACATAAATGTAAATTTGCTATGTTGTAAATCTGCACAAATCTCAAGGTCTTAAGATCAGTTTCATAGGACGAATAAACTGAATCACTTAGGTAAACAAAGGCCTTGAAATTCAAGGCAAAGCTGAGAGACAGGCTATTGACTTTTCAACAGATTGTAAAATTGTGAGTTAAACTGTTGTTCTGCTGTTATGGACTCTAACGTTGCTCATTTTTGTCTAGTTACCAAGAGTTCATAAACCCTCTCAAAGAGCTGGTGTATGAGAGCTTTGACCCCGAGAAGTTCCAAACCCGATGGGCAGAGTTTATAGCCGAGTATAAGTTGGAGGACAATGAATGGCTACAGAGCCTACACAAAGAGAGTCGTATGTGGGTGTCTGCTTACATGAAAGAGTTTTTTTGGGCTAGTATGAAGACCACACAAAGGGTGGAGAGCATCAATTGGTTTTTCGATGGCTATGTTAACCGCAAAACCAAGCTACATGAGTTTCCTCAAAAGTATTGCATGGCCTTGGATCAACGCGTTCGAGATGAAGTGAGTGCAGATGAGCGTTGCTCGAAGTACCTTAGGAGGTTGGTTAGTGGCTTCAAAGTGGAAAAAATATTTCAAAAGTTGTACACGGACAACAAGTTTCAAGAAGTTCAAAAGGAGTGTACGAGAATGATGTATTGCAACGTCCGAGGAGAGAAGGTTTTGTCTGAAAACCTTATTCAGTATTCGGTGGTCGATCGTGTATGGATAGTACCTCCCAGTGCTAGTGAGGATGTCATTACAGATAGGCGACGAACCTACAATGTTACTTTCTTTCCAATGACAAAGGAGGTGCAGTGTGACTGTAGGAAGTTTGAGACAAGTGGCATACTTTGCAAACACTGTATTAGGATTCTCGATGAAAACTTGGTTGAAGATCTGCCAGAGAATACATTGTAGCCCGTTGGCGGAAGGACATACCCCGGAAGCACACTAGGGAGAAGGTGGCCTACCATGATCCGGGCGACACGGTCACTGTGAAGAGGTTCAACAAAATGATGGTTAAATTCGAGCCCTTATGTGAAACCGCCGCCATGGTGGATGATCAAACGGTCCATATGGTAATGGAAACACTGTCGAAGCTTCAATTAGCTGTTAATGACCGTAGGGACAAGAAGAGTCAAGAGAATGTTCCTATAGTTAGTACACTATCATTAGCAGGTGAAGACAGAACGATTTCCTCAGTTGGGAATCCTGCTCCTACTGCTCCTGCAGAGCCCGGAGACCCCTGTCCAGCTGCCATGGACCTAGTTCTCAAAGACCCTATAATTAAGAAACGGAAAAGGGGCAGGCCTAAGGGTTCAAAGCACAAAACGTTAGCTGAAACTGGCTACAAGAACAAGAAAACCAACAAGAATAAGAAGCCTAGTCCTGTTAAGATTTATGCTTTGTTCTTTGTTCAATAACTGCTTATCCTGTTATTATTCTATTCACTCTCTGACTGCTGTTATTATTCTTTAGGACGCAGGAGATGATGTTGGTGTTGAGGAGGATGCAGGAAATGGTGTCGAGGAGGATGCAGGAAACGGTGTTGAGGAAGAAATGGTGTTGCAGGAGATGGTGTTGAGGAGGATGCAGGAAAAGGCAGGAATGGGAGAACAAGGTAAGACAAAGGGGAAGACCAAGGGGATGGCAAAGGGGAAGGGCATTCCAATCCAGGGGAAGTCAAATACGTCTTCTCGAAAGCTACCTGTAAGTATGAAGGACCAAATTTATGTCATTCTACTTCCAGTGATTATTTATATCACATCTAACTAATGGGCGCTGAGTGACATCATACCATTTAAGTTGCTGCACATCAAGGTGAAGCAGAAACGTCTTGATGAACTAATGGCCGATGAGTGAGTCATGTTTAAATATGAAGAGTCTGAGCGTAGAAGAAACAAATCTTTTGTCCAAGCATATGAAGACCAGGCTCTTAGGATGAGTTTCAAGGAAAAAGATTGAATAAACTGATTAATTTCAAAGTTTTGAGATTCAAATCAAAGCTTGTGAGTTAAACTGAAATGTGATCATAAGCATTTGAAACATGTGAAACAAAAGCAACAATGTGTTGTTAAAAGAAAGTTTATCGGGTTAGATGTTCAAAATAAGTGGCTCGATTACAAATGTAGTGACAAACCCCAAAAGCAACTAAAATGGAGAATAAACTTAGAAAAATGCTTTTACATTAGCAGCTTCTCACAGATCTTCTCACTAGACAGAACATCCTTCACCATCAGCAGGCAGCATGCACGCACTTGGTACTAGTCTTCACTGTAACTAGAAACCTGTTTTCCAACATTCAAATTAAAGGATTAGTGAGTTAATTAAGTAACCTATTAATATGATTTTTTAGACAACAACATTGAGGAAGTTCAACCTCAATTGCTTTAACGGTGCCAATAATACGATCATCATCATTCGAGTCATCGGCAGCTATCAGCATGGTCGACTCCACCCTATGAGGATCGTAAAACACCACGGTCCCTCCGAGCAAACCTCCACCCGCGTCATGCCGCCAGGAAATAGTTCTGCCTAGTTTCGCTAGGATCCTTTCACAATTGGTGGAAGTTGCCCCCACCTCTGTCACTATCATCAGAATTGGGTTATGGGTTGCAACAATTTGTTCAAAGTGGTCGATAAAGGATGGACGGGTGATCCTCCGACAATTCCAAAGCACAACAGCAGCTCCAATGTCCAGTTTTTCATCGTTACCATCTAGCTCCGGACAAAGGGCGACAGTATGGTAGCGGCTTGTCAGGTCATATGGGATAAACTGCCCCCTAGACACGGTGTAATTGATCTCCGTGATAGGAGACCTCACCTAAACAGATGTTGTGAGCATGCCATGTTAACTCAGCAATCTTATGAATAGGCCACTTATCATCGTTTATCACAATCATGAGTCATAGTAAGTGAAGATGTTTTTGTTTACTTATGAATGATGGAAGTCAAACCCATGTTGCAATGTTATATTATGTTATGTTCCAGGCTGATGATAGTGGACTTTGCTTTTATTTCTATTTAAGTGAATTAGTTTCTTCCGCCTTGAAACTAATTGAAACTAATTTCAAGCCCTTGAGATTTATAATTTTCGACAAGCTCCGCTATTCCGGAACTTAAAATTATTATGATGAACTTAAAAATAGAATTAATCAAGCAACCCGACTACAATTGGCTAAATCAGTCTACTTCGGTACTACCATCCAAACTTAAATGTTATATTTTGCTCAAAACCCGGTAATCGATAATGACACAAAAATTGGCATCAAGTAAATGCACTTAAAATTTACGTCTGAGGAGGCCCAAAAAAATTAAATTAGGTCATATTGCAGGCAAAAATTACGGTAAAATTAGACGAGACGAGGGTACGTATGGATGTTACCTGCAAGAACAGAACATCATCCGTGTAGCTGCCGAAATCGACTTTGACGCCAGCCAGTCCAAGGGAGTATATAGGGCCAGTCGTTGGGATTCTTGGCTTCGGGTCTATCTTGTCCATCAACAATTTCGGAATGATTTTGGTTTTACCCTCGTACTCGACATTATCATGTTTTCGCAGCTCACGAATGGCAGCTTGCACCTCCGGTTTCGCAACGACATCAACAAAGTTGGGTAAGTGAGCCGGAAAAATCTCACGAGCCTCATTGACCATCATCATCCTGTCCATGCGGTGCTGCTCTTCTTTAGGGTTGGCGACAATTTTCCTCAGAATATCGTATCCAATGACATGCAAGGTCAAATTTCCTCTTTGGCTATGAAAATAGACATAGTCATTGAAGTTCATTTCTTGTACAGGGTTTGTGTTGTACTTGAAATAGTATTTGATGTTATCAGTCGCCGTAGCCGCGAAGAACCCAGGTGGATAAGGCACTTCTTGGTTAGGTTCCATGGTGTGAAAGAAGAAAAGAGAACAGAGGGTAGGTGTTTCTAAGAAAAAATAAAAATTTCAATGAAATCATAGGTAGGGTTTCTAAGAAAAAATTAAAAATTTCAATGATATCATAGGGGCCAAACAAGTTCACTACTCGTTGTCAACTTCAATGATTGACTAGTGCCATAAGTTGGATAAGTTCAGTGGTGTTGAACAGGAGTCCGACTGACATACACTTTGAAGACTTGAGTTGTCATTGTCAACAGCCGCCCGACTGACACATGACAACTCAAGTCCAAAAGCAGTTCGGCTGACCTTTGGCATTGAGTTGGTCATTGTCAATAAGGTGAATTACCGTGTCCTTTTAACATGTCCTTTTACTTGAATCGCGTGAACTAAGGTGAATTAACGTGGTGAATAAGTGAACCCGTGTCCTTTTACCACGTCAAATATCTTACACACTCAATCGTGAATCGTATCTCCAGTGTTGGTAATGCAATTGTGACACGTACAATGATAATTACTGTACGAGAGCACATTGTATATGTGTAACAATAATATATTAAATGGGTTATAAGTTACATAACCTTAGTATATATTATTTAATGGGTTATAAGTTGCATAACCTTAGTGTATATTAAATGGGTTAATTGAAATGGGCGAGCCCCAGTTACTCACGAGGAGAAACGAGTTTTGTTTCTCTAGTGGCAGTTTCGAAATTACTTCCAACTTTTTTCCTTTCTGAGCTTCTGAGTAGGCATGCTTAGTTGGCTATCATGTGGAATGGCGTTAATTTCGATTCAAACGTTTTCAGTTAAGCTTCTCCTCCCCGTAAAATAATTTTACAAAAAAAAAAAAAAAAAAAAAAAAGCTTATCCTCTCTCCGTTAATGGTGAATCCTCCTCTTAAAATAATTTTTTTTTAAAAAAAGAAAGCTTATCCTTTAAAAAAAATGCTTTACAGAATAAGTAATAGCTATTTACATGCAATTCATACAGGTTAAAACCAACGGTTATAAATGATGAGTCGCCTACCTACTTCCTCCTTGTTATCTTTTGCAGGTACGTAGGTAATGAATACATGCATATAGCTACCTACTGCCTGCATTTCAGAAAGGCCAAATCACTCAAAATCCCCCAAATTATGGATCTTAGACAACAATTTCCCATATTAAGTTAAACTTTGTTAATTTATCTTTTTACATCTCACATGGCTGAAGCACGAGTCCGAGCTTGTTAATTTATCTTTTTATCTTTTTACATCTCACATGGCTGAAACAGTCAATTTTCTTTTGGGCGCCATTGATGAAGGAAAGGAAATAAATTTCCAAGAAAGTGAGAAAGATGAGTTTAGAGAGAGAAAATATCAGAAATTTTGGAGCAGGGATGAAGAGAAAAAGTGACGGCTACAGACAAAGTGAAAAGAAGTGGGAAGGTGAAAAGGGTAGAGGTGAAACGATGTGATGTAGGCTGACAGACAACAATTTCCCAGTCGACTGAGTTACCTTAAGCCATTAGTTTTTTTTATGTTACAGTTTCATATACAACAAATATTAAAGCCAAAATACTTATCTTCGCCATAAAACAGTTCAACTTTATCATGTACAAAATTTATATATCTATGTAACATTTTATCTACTTGCAATAAGAAACCGTTAAATTTTGTCAAAGTGATTTCACCTTGGATAAATTATTATTGTCAAACAAAACAACCTAATATCCACATCAAAAATCTAAATAACTTGTTATATGACTTGGAAATAAGCACGGTAATAATTGCAACGAAACAGACAACTAATTAGTTTAGTAATATGTCTGACGTAGAAAATATTTGATAACATAATTGGGTATCAACACCACTTCAACTACCATTAGGATATTACAATATTAATTTAACTACGACAATGATAATAACACGATCAGTCATTGCAAGGACCGTTTCTCCCTTAGTCGTACCAATCATGAATGGTTGGGTCATCATCTAACCTCACATTTGAAAACCAATCTGATTCATACTCCTCCGAGTCGCTTCGTGCGTCTTCAAG